CGTCGAAACGTTGCATAAAACTTTAACCAGTGATTGTTGTTCCATAAAGCTGTGCCTATATACTCTTAGTTTGATTGATTTACAACTGCAGGTAATTTTTAGTGTGCATTTGGCCACTCGTGGTCGTTTGGAAAATATCTATCATGTTTGATAATTTTGATCACTCGTGACCGATGGCACACCCTGCACGGGTAAACGTGCGGGACTTTCTCAGATGACGCATGCAACACGCATGCGTTTTTGGTATTCAAAGATGGCGGCGCCCAGTAAAGTAGTGACAGAAGCAATCCTTGAGGATAAATTTGTTGAATTATGGCAAGATTACCTCTGTCTTTATAATATTGGATCGTGTACAACGTAATAATAACAATAATAACAACTGCATTCCCTCCTCTTCGTCATCGCTTGAACTATCACTGTGGTAGTCCGCCATTTTGATTGATCATTTGATAGCCTTTCGTCAGATATAGTTTCGTGTGCGGAAGTCTTTAACGTCAACATACTTTGAGCAAATGCCTACTACAAGTCTGGCATCTCTAGAAAAAGGAGATTGAAGGATTCTTCCGACATGGATTGAGTCTAATGACTGCATTCTATCACTATTTAGTGCCAATTAATGAAAATGCATACTTTCAAGTTGAAATTATGACTTGATATCATATCAATAGCATTTTAACTGGACAATTAATGTCTCTGGAGTCTGACCTTCAGCATAATATTCTTCTTCTAATATCTACTTGCAATGGTAATTGTATTTTAACTGAGAGATCTAACATTCAAAAAGGAAGTATGCTGATCTACACAAATGCTATCTCAACTTCTGACAGTTTCGGGAGCTCTTTAACTTCGAAAAAATCTAAATTAAAGAAATACTGTAATGCAAGTGGTAAGAATACCTGAATTTAAAATCTGACCAATCAGATAAAAAGAATTAAAATTTAATTTGAAAATAAGGGTGGTTTGGTGATTGAACTCAATACTGTAAAGCAATAATTTGAGGTATACATACAACTTTCGAGATTTTATTGGCATCATCAAGGGAAAATTATCTTTTTATTGCCATATCTTAAATGATTAAATGATTGTCTTCAAGGATTCAAATTCAAGTGGTCACCCGAATATCCAGTTGTTGTGAACCTTGACAAATTTCTGAGCCTATTCAGAGGAAGTAAAACTCCATTTTATTTTATTTTCATCCTTGTCAGACTTGGATTGTGTGAATTAAAGAAAAGGAAGGAATTAATTAGAGAAGAAAATGATCTCATCTGGCCTCATTGGAATTTTTTATCAGTGGTATTTTCACTATTTTAGAAAGAAATGTAATTTACTGGTCTAGACTATTCAATACACAATAGGCATTAACAACGCGTGTAATACGCTAGTTTACACTTAACTTCTGGTTCACTGGTTTTTATTATACCATTCCAACCCCATATTTTGTCTAAGAATTGTCTTTTACACTCGATTCAGTGATTTTGAATCACAATTCATGAATATGAAGACAAATATTTGTAATCAAGATCCAGAAAAATAACCATTTTGATCAAATTTCATCTTGTAACTGATAAATGGAAATGGAACTCACAGAGTGAAGTGAAGCTTATTGTTATGAAGAGTTAGCACATTGTCAATCACATCTGCTTACATTTCATATCTCTACATTGGTATTTCACTCAGGGTTAGCTCAATCTACAAGAAATGCATGTAACACCATTATAAATGTATTGAAAAACTTTGACACAGTACTGCTTGATGTTGGGAAGAGTAAACCCATGCACATACATGGGTAGCAACTTATTGCTGTGTTCAAACTTTTGTTGTGCTATTGAATGCTTGTCTTTGCAGTAAAAATGGAGGAAAAGCGCAATGGAAAGTGTATGCAAATAAGTTGCTATCCCTTCTTCCACTTCTGATTGGGATTAAAAGACAGGATCCTATGATCCAATACAGCCCAAAGATGAGGAGATCCACGGATCTCAAACTTAAAGTGCAGGTCAATTCCAAGTCATTTTGATCTAATACAAGAGAACAATCTAACCTAGAGAAAATATCTAAGGCTGTCGACATCAGATTCATTTAGATTCAGTGAAACATATCAAATATTATCATAAAATGTAATCAAGCTGAAATAATGGTAATGGTAAACAGTAGACTGTCGTCAGTACAATCTCAATTTACCCATATCATTTCATAAATAATATTTACATTTCAAATACCCTCATATAAACCTTTTCAACCAGAATTTATGGGTATTGGATTGAACTTGGTAGAGTGGCTAAAATATAATATGCAATCTTTCATATGAACAAAAAAAATTGTTGTAATAAATTTGATACTGATAACGATCTCAAACATTCAATTTGAAGATTGTATTGGATGGAACATACAACTAGGAGATTGTTGGTATGGAAATATATATTAGAAGTCCAATTTGTACAACAATGTCAATGATCCAAACACTCCGCAATTGCTGTCAAAAACATTAGATTTTGAAGGTGTATAGAGATAAACACAGTTTAAAATTGGAATAATAAACAATACTAAAGCAATATGAATTACTCTCTATAGTAAAACAGCTCTCTGGATATTGGATATATCGCATTTTAGCCCGAGACATTCAGGGCCAATCAGCTGTACTTTAATTTAAAGATATTCTGATTATTTCTTTATTTCTGTTGTAATAGAGCTCTCGAAGGTTTGTTGAATTACAATTTTAAGCTGAATCATATTTTAAAGATCTCTTAATTTATACAAGAAAAAGAAGTTCACGAATGTTTTCATTGGAAATATTTGAAAAAAACAAATCTATAATCCATGCAACAGTGCTTGACATCATGAGTAGAATGTAAAGGAAATTTTCTGTTTAAAACAACAAACCACTTAAATTATAAAAAGATTACAGTTCTGTCAAATTCAGTTTTTATATTCTCTGTTTAATCTTACATTCTCCTAAATTGAAACACAGTTGTCAATTGTAATGAAATGTATTGTCAATCAGAATCTGTTATAAACCTTGTTTTTGGTTCTTAATTTAATATTATGCATTTACTAACTTTTCTTTATCCAATTCCTTATACATCTTATTTAATTATATGTTCACAACAACTCTTTGTTGGTGAATGTAGTATGACAGTTTAAGGAATTAATTTTGATGTTAAACAGAAAAAGTTTAGGTTTTTATTCTCTTACTTCTGTAACTTGTGTAAATTCTCTAGAACATTTTGACTCAGTTACAAGTTGTTGTGGCATAGTTGTATTGTTGTTGGTGAAGACATTATTGTATTACTGTTGGCAAAAACATTGTTGTATTTGGTTACAAAGACATTGTTGTATTGCTTTTGGCAAAGACATTGATGTATTGCTGTTGGCAAAGACATTTTTATATTGCTGTTGGCAAAGGCATTGCTTTACTGTTGTTGGTAATCGCATTGTTGTACTGTTGTTGTTGTTGTTAAAGGCTAAAGACATTGGTGTATTGTTGCTTTTGGCAAACACATTGTTGTATTCTATTTTTGTTGGTAAAGACAAGGGTGTATTGTTGTTTGTAAAGACATTGTTGTATTGCTGTTGGTTTTTTGTAATAATTAGTCAACAAGATAAATATTTATCCTTTTGAGGAGTCTTTCAAAAAGAACCAGAAAAGCTTAGAACACCTCAGACTTTTGCAGAACAAAGCCCACAATTAAAGAAAGAGCTATTAGATTGTCAATTATCACCTGAAATTTAAGATTAGAGCACCTGAGGGTTTATCTATATGTATGTCTTATTTATCAAGGTGGGAAAGCACCACAAATTATATGTTGACATATTATAGATAATCTGATGAAATTTATTTATAATAAAACTCAAATTTAAACCTCTTAG